TAAAAGCTACAATCCTGGTCTAATGTGTGCTCCAGCTTTTTGAAGGATCAAGAGACACACATCTGTAAAGACCCCAGAGAGAAGCATGCATATCAACTTTTGGGTGCCTCCAATGAGATTTCTCTTGGTTTTTTTTTCTTAATAGCTTAGAGAAATGAGATGAAAATAACCAAGTGACATTTAATAGAGAAATGAAAAGTTATTCTCTTAGGAAACAGAAGTGAAACAGAAATCAAATGCACAGGTGTAGAATCGGGGCACCTGACTTGATGATAATACTCGTGACAACGAGTGATTGCAAACTGATTTGGAGCTGGCTGTTTGATGTGTGGCAATAAAAAAAGACCAATGCAGTTTTAGGTTGCACGTTTTTGTGAATGAAGGCAGTAAAGAGGAGTATTTCCAGGAGGGAGGGGCTGCCTTACAGAGGAGTAAGAGGCAACTAGACCAATGGAGCATGCCAACAAGTTATTTCTGCAGAAAGATCAGTTATTACTAAAAGGATGAAACCTTTTGAGAGAAGTCAGGCCAAAACTAGATACAGGTGGTCCTCCACTTATAACCACAATGGAGTCCAACATTTATGTTGCTAAGTAAGACATTTGTTAAGCAGGTTTTTCTATATTTTACGACTATTTTTGCCACCATTGTTAGTTCTTCATAACTTGCATATTGGAAATTCCTTCTTCCAGGAAGGACATAGAACAACTTCAGGCAACGTTACCGCCGCCATCAACCATTATTAAGGAAGAACAGCAGTGCAATTATCCAGGTTTCTTTTCCATTTCTGGTTTTTTTAGTGGTGGTTTTTTCTTGGTAGTCTACCCATGTGCAGTGGTCCTTATTAATTTTTCACTAGACTGGCGCCCCTCAGCTTGTTAAGTCACATCTGAAAGCATCGGTTTTCATATATTGGAACGAGAGGAAAAGACGGTGGAAGGGAGGTGAGCAATTGCCCTCACCATGGAGCAAAAAAACGACAAGGATATAAAACATTTAAGAGCAGTTAGTGCATAAAGGTTTCCAGATGGGAGGCGGCGGCACAGATGTGTTCTATTCTAGGATTCCAGTCAATCAGCGTTGCTATAAAATTGTAGATTAATGAATCAAACAGCCTCTTTGGTTGCTAACAGTTGCAGTGGGATCTGGGGAGAAAGGGAAAATAGCCGTGGGGCTTTGCAGCTGAATTCAGCTGAGAACCTGCACGGAATGTTTCAGTTCTCTACTAAACTTTTAAAAGCATCCTTAAGAGATAGGGAAAGAAATGTGCTTTTTGTCTTATTTTCTTCTCTACATTCTGCCATTTGATGGACTTCGGGATAGGGGAGTTGAAGAGACATAAAACCAAGGAAGTATATTTCCTCATATAGACTAGCCACGACCTTAAGAGCAGCTGCAGTGTTTCAGGGTTTTTTTAACCATCATTTTAAATTAGGGGGATGTTTCCAGTGGTGGAAACCACATCTTCTTTGGGGAGATCCATCACTCCTTGTCTCCAGACAGAGTTTTTTTTACACAGGTTTTTGATGCTTTAATGCATTGCCGCTGATATATTGTTACTACGATAGTTATGGCTGTTGGTGCTGCAGCTGTTACAATTGGGATGGGTTGCTTTCCGATGCACACAGTAGATTCACCCGTTGGTTTATATCAGATGCTCTAGGGAGAGGATCAGGGTATTAATAAACATGTTTGCATTTTTAATTAAATCAATGTCCTGCACTTTTGCTCATAGGATTAAGCATTGTGTTTTATGAGACTCTCTTTTGCAGGCCCTCTCCCAACAGTTAGAATAGAATAACAACTTTATTGTCACTTTGAATGTACACTAATCGGCATACATTAAAATGAAATTGTCATGGTTCCGACAGATGAAACTCTTCAAAGAACTTCAAGGCATCATTTACCTTAAAGAATCTTTATTAGAGAAGCATAGCATCGGCACTAACATAATCGAAGCCAAAAACTAGATTCCTCTCCCCTGAGCACATAGTATCAAAGCACAATTCCCTCCTTCAATTAACAGTCATAAATCACATTCTCCAATTAGTTTGAAATGCAGGCTTTCCCTCCAGTTCTGCAGCCCGCCAATTCTTATCATCTCTTATTTCAATAACCTTGGTTCACACACTAGGTCCAGTATTGTTAAACTCTCGTGCACATTCTTCCTCCCAGCATCATCTAACTCTAACTCTAAAAGTAAAACATAAGAAGAAAATGGTTGCATCTCCAACTGTTGTCAAAGCAAAAACATCTGATGTTAGCAGCATTGACAGAAATTTCATTGCATACAGCTCTCAAAGGGTCACCACCTCCGATACACAGTACATAAATATGACAAAAATAAATAAATAAATACAGAGTTATGCATATACCCACATATATAATATGACACAAAAAACAATAGTCTAGTTAGGGTTATGTATACATGTGCATGGCGAGAAAAATGAATCTTGTGAATTTACCAGACGGATGGCATAGGGAACAAAGTTATTACGGAATCAGGTAGTCATGGTAGAAATACTTTGAAACCTCCTCCCAGAGGGGAGCAACAGAAACAGACCACAAAGTGGGTGTGTGGGGTCTCTAGCAATGCTTTGAGCTCTAAGCACATAAAAGCGCTTATAAGCAGCATCCTGAATACCAGGAAGCGAGCTTCCTATGATCTTCTCAGCTGTCCCTACCATTCTCTGTTATAGGCACAAAGAAGGAACACATCTGCATGTTGGTGCAGACAGGGACTTTATGTGACACGAGAACTGAGAATTCAAATTAATTTAAAATATGGTTTGTGAAAACACAGCTGGATTATGAGCCGGCGTGACCCCTGTCTGCAGTGTTTGAGTACACTAGGAGTTGCGCAACCTGTGGTTCCTGCCCGTGGTTTGCTCACTGGTGCACTCTTGTGAATCTCATCAACAATCATTTTAAGCATCTAATTAAATGTAACTTAAAATTTAATCAAATTAGCTTATGTTGTGACTGACACCACTACTTTTCCTGCGTCCCAACCACTTTGGGGGATTCAAATTCTGGCATAGTGTTCAATGACCAAATTGGTTGTGCATTTTTGTGTGTTTGAGAGAGAGAGAGAGCCTCTATAATTTCAGAAAACTACAGAATTGGAACTTTTGGGATTGTAAATCAAAATGTTCCCTACCTCTTTTTCAGCAGAGTGGAGGAAGAAAGAAAAGGAGAATCTTACAGACTATGACTCATTTACGTAATATTATGAATTGTGCCACCTACCTAATGTGGATGTACTCCAGATTTGGGTGTACATCTAGGGATTCTAGCCAGGAGACTGGTTGCTGAGAATTTGGGGGAGAAGATCCATATATCTGGAAGGCATCCAAGTTGAGGAAGGTAGAACAATGGTCTCAAATGACAGATGAAATCTTGCCTTCAGGAAAAAATAAAGTACCATTGAGTCTATTAACTTGCTATGAATTGAGAAATTTCTACCAAAGCAATATAATATTTCCCAGAGGAAATAAAGCTAGAGAAATCTTTAAGGCAAGATATGCCTACACTACTTCTTAGGAAGTTGACTAAGTTTGATCAAAGAAAAGAGGATAGTAAATGAAAGCTTGGACGAGACACTTGTGAATTGCCAAGAATATTGATTTGATTAATAAATGGGATTATTAATCCATCTCTTCTGTGTCCCATCCTTTTACCTTCCACACCCCCAAACGGGGAGTCTCCCCAAGGGAAACTATGGCCAGTTTCTGCTCCGAGGACATGGTCCTTTTCAACCTGTGTGATATTCCATAAGACACTTTGGATCTTTTCCTTTACACAGTTACTCTATATAAATTATACATGTTTTTACAGGGGTATGGAACAACTTCTTAGTGACTTCATACTGTACACATAACATCCACTCTTAACCATTATGTCAACAAAATAATGAAAGGTGCTTCAAAACATCTCTGCCTTTTAACCCTTACGTCACAATGTTGCATGAAATTTGCATTGCAATACTTTAATGAAATATCAGTGCTTATCCCTTCCTCATCCCCTTTTGCAAATGACTAATGATGTGATGTTATTTCCCTTCTATAAGATTGGGTTTGCTTTGGTTTTTAATCCTTGTGTAAGTCCTTTGTCTTGGTGATTGGCATCCGTGGACCATTCTCAAGGAATATGGTTTTCTGAGCACTGATTTTCTTTCTCTAAGGACTTCCTTAACCTCTTTTGTTATTTCCATCCACATTCACCTGTTTTTCCCGAGCATGTGAGCCATAATATATGTTGGACATAGGACATTTTTCTTCTTCTTCCTCTCAATGATTGTGTCACAGACCAAGCATGAGAGCAGCCCTAACACTCTCAAGGAAGCAGAGTAATTTAAAGAAGATGTTAGGTTTCCCTTTAGGACAGGAATACATGAGTTATTTCTGGGCCAAAAGCTAAATTTGGCCTTTCTAGACCTGGGTCTATACTAGGAGTATCCAACCTTGGCAACTTTAAGACTTGTGGACTTCAACTTCCAGAATTCCCCAGCCTGCCTGGCTGGGGAATTGGCTGGCTGGGGAATTCTGGGCATTGAAGTCCATAAGTTTTATAGTTGCCAAGTTGGACACCCCTGGTTTATATTCTAAAAATCAATGGGGAGAGTAAGCGAAAACTAAAGTGTTATTTCACCAGGATCTATATTGAAGTAAAGTCTAGATAATATATAGATTCTCCAATTTGATACCTAATACTTTTCACTGAATTGTAGTTAAGTAATGACCTTGGGACAAGTCTAACAATTATACCCAAGACCTTCAAAGACCATATTTGGCCATCAAAACTTTTGCTCGGCCTTCTGCCCTGAGACTTCTCCCCAAGCCTCTCTGGAACATTTACTGCCTCTCCCAAATTTACCTTATGCTCTCAAGTGTTTCTCAGAATTCTCCTTGATATTTGCGGGGGAGGGGGGAGAATCTCATTTTGCTAATGACCAATGTCTTTCTTTCCTTCTTTTTTGTTGTTTCTGTCATTCGATCCAGGACCAGGAGCAGTACACGATGGCAACAATGCAGCTTCCAGAGCGATGGCCTGCATCTGGCTATCGGGCGCTCTCTTTGCTTATTTCCTGCTCAAGTTTTGATTTAAAAAAAAAAAAGTGAGGATCCTTGCAATGCTGCCTGGTTTCTCCCACACCACAGACTCTTAACCATCCACACTGCTGGGGGAACCGGAAAAAGGAAACCGGTCTACAGCTTGATTTTATTGCTGGGGAGGACCAGGGGAGGGAGGGGCATCCTGATTCCAGGCCAACCACCCTTTTGGGATCAAGTTCATCACACAAACATTTCCCAAAGCCAAATTAGTTTTTGCGTCCTTCCTCAACCATTCCATCCTCCCTAAACGCCCTGTGGGGGGGGGGAAATCACAACTTCTCCTTTCTACGACCAAATGCTTCTGCACCAAGCTTGCCCAAATATCCCTGGAAGAAGAGATGCCTTGGTCCAAGAGATCCTGTCCATCAAGCAAGTCAACAAAGCATCCTCTTCCTTCCGTGTCTCCTTGACCAACGGGACTGCCCCCCTTTTTTAATGATAACGCTGTATATATCTGTTCATGCTTCAAAGCGTCCACTCACATTCTGGATTCTCGCCTCCCCTTTGGTTGGTTCTCTGAAGACCTTTGCTACCGTTGCAGTCTTTGCAAGCCTCCCCAGGATGTGGGTTACATGAGGGATGGAAGTGGTGGTGATGGAGGACCACGTTGCACTTTAAGAAGCAGACTATGAGTTAGTCAACTGCTGGGAGTGTTGGAAGCTCCCCACTACTAAAAAAAACCTGAACCTGGAGTGATGGAATGGCAAGTCAAGCACATCCCATTTATCAGCCTCATCGGACCATCGTTTTGCCCATTCATCCATTCATCCATCCAATTATCCATCCATCTGCCTTCCCAGTCATTTGTTTGCCATATTAATCAATTTATCAATGTAATTATCTGATGGGCTTAATTTTTTTAATCCAAATTGTTCCTCTTCAGTTCCCCATCCATTCTTCCAACATCTATCAGCCTGATCACCTTCATTGAGTCCTGCCATTAGCTAGACAACTTTTTAATTCCTCATTATTCAACCCATTATTAGTTTTAACGTGCCGCTGCAGTGTTTCGGCCTTCTTTGCTGCAGAGGGGAAGGCACGGAGATGGTCCGCAAAGAATCAAAATGAATAATATAGATGAAGAAAAGGCACAGTAAAAAAAAAAAATCAAAGAATGGGCACAGACAATGGAATAATATTTTGGAACATGTTGGCATCAGCAACTGTGTCAATCCATAGATTTTAAGCCTTTTGCATTCTTTCCCATGTCACCCTAGCCAAACATTTCCATTGTCAAGCATTGCCTTAAAACAATTCAACTTAAAGTGCTGAATTTAATGGGGAAATATTTGCCATCCTTTCCAGCGCCCCCAGTTTTCTACTGCACATAGACATTCAAAGAGACTCATTGTTTTTCATTATCCGGAAATAGCAATGGGATTGCCTCTCCATCCTGAACCTGGCCAAGCCGCCCCAGAAAAAAACAAAACAAAAAACAACTTTTGTGTTTGTTATCTTACAAATCCACCCTCGGAAGCTGTTGGAGGCCAATTACTTTGCTAGTTTCTTCCGACGTTAGTTGTACATTTCTTCGGAAACCTCTCTGGAACAGAAGGGTTTTGCACAGCAACTTAAGTTCTAAGCATTTAATTAACACTGAAGAAACAGGAGAAAAACAGCAAATCAGAGATGGGAAGAAGCAAAGGAGGAGGAGATCCATATGATTTTGTGTGTGCCTCTTCGGTTTCTTCATTAGCCCTGCAGAGCAGCTAAAGAATTGTTCAGGTCACTGTTTTGTAAAAGCACCACGGATGGTTCCTGAAAATTCTCCCCAGCTCTTCTTTCTGGATGATCCAAGGTTCAAATTGCTTCTGTCTGCACAAAAAAAGTCCTAAACCTTGTAGGAAAGGATTTTACTTCCTACAAGGAAAGAAAAAAAAAAGCTGTTTTTGTTTGTATTGGTGATGGGATATTTGTGGATGTCTGGAATAAACAAGAATTTAAAAAAAACCTACTAACATTACAGACCATTGTTAGACAGAAATATCAACCAATAGGTAGTTCTATAGAGTGTTAAGAAGAACGCTGACATGACTCATTTCAAATCAAGACCCTGATCAAAGTTGGACAGCTGGGATGAATGAAATCATCTGCACAAAGATGACCATGGAGGGGAGCCAAGTTCCCAAATGTCTACTTTGTACCCTTTCTTTGATAAAGGCTCTTTCTTAGCTGGAAACCAAGATGGGGAATTAATTCATTGTTCCTGATATGTTTTTCTCTTGGGGAACGTTCTTGGTAGGTGAATGGTTCCAAGACTCTCTTCTTCAGCCACACCCTGAAAAGCAGTAAGGACGTATGGCAGCCACTGTACTGAGCTGCTGTCAGCTGTGTCTTGGCAACCCCAAACTGACCTTGTGAGTGACTGTTTCAAATTCTCAATGGGTCTACATGGATAAGTAAAGAGATGCGCCATTCAAAGTGTTTAGCTTATTGCTACATGTACAACACAATTCAAAGATCCTGATGTTTACTTAAAGAAAATATTTGGGTGGTATATTCATATTTAAAACATGAGAAGGGTCAGGGCCTGGTTTTTAGATGAGGGATGAAAACTGCATTATTATTGAATGTACAGACGTTGTCATCCCATAACTTATTTTACTATCCATAGTGGCACATTTCTTCAGATTTCAAGAAAAGAAGTCATCAGATCTGGGATTGGTTTTTTTGGGGGTGGGGACAGAGAGGGAAATATAAAAAGCTGGAGAATATGGCTTTCACAACAATGTCATTCTCTTGTCCATGTTGGTCGATACTTTCTTTCCCATATATGATGCCAGTGATATAGCACAACTTTCCCTGTTCAACTCTGAAGCTATTTGTATACTGAAATAGCCTTTGAAAGCTTATGCCACAATTTGCCCTTAAAGTGTCATAAGATGCTGTGTTGTTTTCATGTGATCATGGTGTCATGAAGAGCCTTGGTGCCATAAAGCTTTTTTGGAGTCTGATTTAATCTCTACTCGAAAGTCTATTTAATGCAAAAGAGATTTTTGTCCCTGCAGATACCGCTGAGCTATATTTGGCCAAAGACTTGCTTCTTCATCCTAGAGTTAAAAATAGGCAGCTAGATACCTATCAATGCCCAGAAAGATGATAGCTTTTCCTTCAGTCTTAGAGAATTTGGAAAAAGATGCATTTGGACTTTAGTTGATCCTAAAGTCCAACAACAGATTTTTGGCTCATTGTACAGAAAGACTGTGACCCAGCATATACACAGAGCAACAAACACTAACTTGCTCACATTTGTGTTCGAAGCACCTAAGGCGCTTCCAGAGTGAAAGGATTAGCTGATGACATCACCATTGCCCAGAGATGGCCAGTTGGGGGGCTGCTTTCATGTCCCCATTAATGTGCCTACCAAAGTAGTACCTATCTTATCTACTTGTGATTACACACTTTCAAGTTGCTAGGTTGGCAGGAGCTGGAGTGGATGATGGGAGCTCACCCCGCCACGCAGCACCACTGGGGGCTCAAACACAGGCTTGCTGATTGTCCACCCAGTGTCCTAACCATGTGAGTCACCGTGCTCACATTAACTCCTAGTCAAGTAAAATCAACTCTTGGTTTGACTTAACCACAAACTTGTAGGACTGGATTGGATGCCCCTGGATCAAACTAAAGGGCCTATTTTTTATAAACAGGTCATCATGCCTTTATCCACTCAAAGTATCTATAGGGCGTCAAGGGGGCTCCACAGAAATTGATAAGATCAGCAAAGCAAAGGAATTTAAGTTGTTTAAAATCATGCTTAGAAAATAATTGTGGGTATGATGTGTATCAGAGTTATTCTGCAATCAGTGCTAGACAACTCTGCTTTGGCAATTCCATTCCAGCAGCATTGTGTTTTTCTACATGTTTCCCCTTGTCTTAGAAGATCAAACCATCCCCATGGGAAGGAACTAAACTGAGTGGAAGGAAAGTGAAGAACACTCTAGCTGTAAGTAATTCTCTTGGAGATTTTCTGCAATGGGGGAACAAACTACTCTTCCTGAATTAAGTGCACTGACATTCTGGTGACACGCCACATGCTAACTTTGCTGAAGAATGATTCAAGTTAAGTGCCTGATGTGTTCAAATATTTTCCACATGCCTCTGTAAGAATGCTTTGGGGTTTATGAGAAACGCCTCACATTTCCAAGATGAAAACTTCAAGTATCTCTTCTACCAACTATGAGAGTGTCAAGGCCACACTGGGCCTCAATCTGTTTCCAGGAGGACTTGTATGAAGCTGCCATATATAAAGGCCGATGGATAAATCACAGCCTTTGGTTTCAAGTACACCATAGTTATAGGTGCTAAAGTTCCTTTGCTTCAATAAGCCTACATACAAGTAAATAGACACAAGGTTGCAGACATTGAGATGAATCTTTAAAAAAAATATGGCACAAAAAAACCTTCATTGAAATTGAAGATATGTAAGTGGAGACAAACAAAAGTTTTGACACTTTCGTTTGCTGTATCAGTCTAAGCACTTTCAAGGAGACTATATATGACTAACAAGAGTCTGTCCCCATGAACTAGTGGATGCTTTCTGCAGAGAATATAAAAATCTGCTTTCACCGCTTGAGAACAGCTCAGAGTTTTAGGCAGAAATCTTTTCATAACCACTCATGAATCCTATTCATGCAGAACAGATGTCCCACCACTGAAGTTCTCTCTCACTTGCTTTCTCTTGGATACATGATGAATTTTGTCAGAATATCTACTTTCACCTCAAATCCCCTCCCCTCCATTCTTACCAGTGCTAATCACAGTCATTAGTACAAGTAGTCCTTAACAATCATTCAGTGACCATTTGAAGTTACAATGACTTATGTACGGCTGTTGCAGCATCCTCACAGTCACATGACCAAAATTACAACAGTTGCCTTTTTTAGCAACAGAAATTCTGGTCAAGAACTGCTTATATGGCCTGGAGTAAGATGAAATAAAGCTTTGTTTTTCCTACACTATTAACTACTTGTGCTAATACAATTTACAC